CGGGGCATGAGCGCGGAGGGGCCGCGGCCGCCCCCCGCGCCGCCCAGGCCGTGACCGGGCGGGGGGCGGCTGCGCTAGCGCCCGCAGCCCCGGGGCTCGCGGAGCCGGGAGCGATAACCATGGACTGCAGCCTATTGAGGACGCTCGTGCGCAGATACGTGAGTGGCGCGCTGGGATGGGGCCGGGGCCGGGGCCCGGGGTCGGGGTCGGGGTCGGGGTTCAGGCCCGGAACGTCCGGCCGACGGGTCCCCGCCGCGCTCCACCTGCGCTCGGCCAGGCCCACCCGGAAGGCAGTTGCAGTCGGGTCAATCCCGAGGTCGAGGGACATCCATCCTCGGGGGGTTGCGCTCAGCTACAGCGAGGCGGGCCCGCGCGGAGACCGGGACCGGGACCGGTTGGGACATGTATACGGGGCTACGGGGAAGCGGGGAGCCTCCACCGGGGAGTCAGAAGTGAAGTTTGCCATCTCTGAAAGTAGCCAGCCAGGTCCGAGTGCCCTGGATGCCGCTGCGCAGTTAGTGTCTCACCAGGGGAGACCAGGGAGGTGGCAGCCATCAGCCGGGACGGGGCAAAGTGGGTGTGTGTACCGAAAAGAGAGAATCTGCCCCGGGACAGCTTGTCTTCCCTAAGCCGGACACAAGGACCTATTGTGCGGCAGCTGGCGCCGGGTGGTCACAGGTTTGAGGAGCGCGTGCCGAGTGCGGGCTGGGTACGGAGGGGACCAGAGCCGGCTCTTTCTGGCTTCTCTGAGCCGGACACTTGGCCTTGGATGTGGGTTTTTCTGAAGGGGAATTTACCCGGGTTTTTTCTCTTCTTTTTCTGGTTAATTTCCTTCCAACTTAGGCCTTCCAGTAAGAAAAGAATCACACTAGGAAACTGCTGTCCTCCCCCCACCCCCGTGGGAAGCGAAAGGAGGAGGGGTGGTCTTCTTGGTCCCTATAGAGACTCTCTGTGGTCCCGCCAGCTTCCCAGGGCCTCAGGACTCATTTTCATCCCTGGTGCTTTTACTTCCAGAGTGCCCTCAGGGAAGCTTTCAGCTATCTTATATTTCCTTAATCTAGGTAAAATTTCCGGTTAAGTTTCTTTTTGCTGTGCTATTTTACTTTTGAAGTGGTGTTTTCTCTCAAATCTAAGCTGCAGATATTCCTTAACAAACTTCCCCACTCCTAATTATTTGATTATCTGTCTGGAATGTAAGTTATGGAATGATATACTTTCTGCTCATCTCATTTTTACTTCCTTGCTTGCAGTGTGTTCTCTTACTCCTCTGCCACAGGCCTGTACACAGCTACTTTTTAATCTATGATTTTAAACTCTAGTCTAAGCCATGAAATTAATTTGACTCCCCTTCCCCCCGAAACAGTTATGGTTTGTTTTCTTGTAATGCGGTTTATCCTCCGAGATGTGAAGTCAAATTATATATATTTTTGCAAGAGGAGAAAAAAGAGATTGGATATTCTTACCCCATGGTTTATGTAACTTATTCTACAGAAACGAGCCTCTCCTCTGTAGCCTGCTGCCTTTCACACAGTTCCTGAGATCAATAAAAGCACCACAGCTCCCTCTGAGGCCTAAGCTTGCTAGAGATGGAGTCATCAGCCCTTGGAGAATAACGTTGGTCATAGGTATTTTGTCCTGGGTCAGTTCCGGGCAGTGAGTACAGGCAGGTAAATGAGAGAGAGAACTCTAAGAGGCCAGTCCGCTCTGCACTCCACATTGCTGCGTGTTTGAACAGTCACACAGCCGTGTGCTCAGGTCATGCGCCGTGTGTAGTCTAAGTCATGTCATGCATCTTAAACATTTTCAGGAGCACGTGTAGAGCCAGTGACTCTTCCTCTTAGGTTTGTGAGGTGAGGAGCGTGGGTCTGGTCGGTGACCCTCTGAGAGGAAGCGACAGAGGCTACGGGAGGCCTTCCATTTGCAGCTGTGTACCTGGCTTCTAGGGTCCTGCTTCAGTCCTCTTGTTAACTTGCGCCTTGTAGTTCTTGTGAAGATTGAGTGTCTTAGTCTAGAAAAGGGGTAAGGATGGGGCCTGGATCCCCAGAGAGGCCCAACAAGTTTACCAACACCCACTGCTATGGTTCCCTGGGGCCCTGGGCAGGCCCTAGCCTGGGCTACCAGTGAGAGCTTAGCTGAGCACTCTTACTTATATGGGGGAAGGGGTGTCGGGGGAGAAGTTTAGGAAACCTTCAAAAACTTTTACTTTTTTGAGAGAATCTCCCTAAGTGTGGTTCTGATTGGCCTGGATCTCACCATGTAGTCTAGGCTAGTCCTGAGCTCACTGAGATCTGCTTGCCTCTGACTTCCCGGTGCTGGGATTAAATGCATTGGCTACCTGACTCCAAGCCTTTTTAACAAGGGGCGACAGTTGGTTGGTTCTCTACAGGGCTTTCCTGAGAGAGTGGGGGGAACGAACTATTGGTGGGTATGATTTGTATACTTGGCAAAGATAAAATAATTTAAAGCCAGGTGTGGAATACTGCTGCTGGCTGAGCAGGAACAGTGATAGAGTTTATTTAGAGCCTGCTTCCTGGGCCAGGCTCCTCATAGAGGCCTCTCCCTTTCGCCTCCTGGTTCATGCTGAAGGGATTTGATTTTCCCTCAAACCCCTGTGGGTCAAGAGCTTCGTTTTGTCATGTCTGAGTGATGTGCTTCTTCGAGGGGGCCTGGATTTCGTTTATTAGGTTTTATGGCTTGTTGGAGCCTCTGCTTTCCAAAATTTACTTTGCAGGCAGCACACAGTCTAAGGCAGAAAACTGAGGAAAGCCTGAGGCTCCCCCCTACCCACTTACCTTCCTTTCTTTCCTGGTGACAATTGGTGATTGAACCTAGGACTTGCTGCAGGCTAGGCAAGTGCTCTGCCTCTGAGTTATATCCCTAGGTCTTTTGACTTCCTGCTTTGAGACAGGCTCTCCCTAAGTAGCTCAGGCCAGGCTTGAACTCTCTTTGAATCCAGGTGGGTCTTAAGTGTGTGGCCTTCCTGCTTCACCTTCAACAGTGGCTGGCATGGCAGGGTGCACCTCCTTGTGTCCAGCTCATTTCGACTTCTTTTTTATCCTATTTTATGTAAATGGATTCTTTGCCTACACATGCCTGGTGCCTGCAGAGGTCAGAGAGGATCACCTGGGCCTGGAGTTACAGACCATATACGCTCACATGGGCACGTTGGGGATCAAACCTCTGGAAGAGCAGCCTCTTAACCGCTGGACTGCCTCTCCAGTCCCTACAGTTCCTTATATTAGAAAAAGACAGTTTGGCCTCCTGAGAACTTCAAGCATTTGCTTTATACTTATCCAAAAGTTTAGAAAATTGTAAGCATGCACGTTTCTCCTCCTCCTCCTCCTTCTACTGCTTCCTCTTCTCCTTCCTCTTTCTCTCTTTCCTCTTCTCTTCCTCTTTTCCTTCCCCATCCTCCTCTCCTGCTCCTCATCATTGGTAGGGTTTTACTATGTAATTGGCTGTCCTAGATCTTAGTACTTAGATCAGTCTTACCTCCAGCTCACAGAGATCTCTGTGAGATCTGGCTCTGTCTCCCAAGTGCAGGGATCAAAAGCGTATGCCATTACATCTGGCTTCTTCATTTTTATTAACAAGCGGTTTGTATCCTGGACATCAGGGCTCACTGTGAGCTCGCCTGTTCTAAGAGACTTAACTCACTGGACTTCCTGCCTCTAATCCAGCTCTGGGGATCTAGGCCTTCCTGTTCAGCCCCTAGAGTCCGTATTCCCGGATACAGAGTGAAACCACTTAACCACCAAGGCCTTCTGGTATTTGAAATAAGTGATTCCTTAGGCATAAAACCCCCAAGCTAATGGATGGTCCATCTCCAACACAGTGGTAGCAATCTATAGGATGGACTTGTAAAGTTTATAATTCACACACATTTAACAAGGCGGCAGCTAGACAAGTTTGTCCAGCGCCTGCCTGCCTTCAGAGGCTGGTGTTTTCTGATTGGACGCTTCTGAATAATCACTGCAGCTGTCTATTTAACCTTTATGTTAAATGTTAAAGGTTGAATAAATCACCTTTATATTATTCCTTGCATGGAAGCTTCCCCATTGTCCTATGAAGCCTTACTGAATATCGGTCTGCTCATTAGGACAAGCAATCCTCAGATGCTTTCATTTCATGCCAGAGACTGAATTTAATAACCCAGGGGAAAGAGGCTGATATCATGACAGCCAGCTACGTTTCTAGAAACGAGAACACTGTCCTCAGTTTACAATTAGCTGAGATGGCGTGATTCTGTTAACAGGCATGTGCAGTGCCTCACTGCCTAGGAATCCTGCTTGAGAACGTGCTCTGAGCTGAACATACAAACTGCTGTGGGGCGCCTGCGCCCTCTGCTTGACAGAGACAAGCTGGATGCAAGAGTCCTACGTCTCAGACGTACAAATGTTCTTTTAACCAAGTTAAACTCAGGTAAGAGTGCTATTTATTTGTAATACAAATCAATAGAAAGCCATTCTTACAGCACTGGAAATCTGACAAGATTGAGTAGGTACTATTTTTGCCTGACTGGGATGCTGAGGGCTGAGGAACTCGGGGTGGATGCAGAGCTCTGGAGGTCAGGCATCTGTCTCTTGGATCGTCACTCACATTTGTCTCTGCCTCCATCCGGGTGAATACTTCGGGCTGCTGGTTAGCTTCTTCAGACTGTCTCCTGGTCCGTAAAGCAAGGGCCGTCGGTGCTGCCCACTCGCAGGAGCCCACAGTTCCCTCCCACCACCCCCCACGCGGTTGATGCACCTTGAGTGGAACATCTCAGTTTGGACACCATGTGCTGTCCTTATTCCCAGCAGACCTGCATTCCCTCTTCATGGGGGATGCTGTGCACAGCCCACAACTGCTGTTTCTGTCCTGGCCTCCTCCTGGTTTGGGACAACAGATCCCATTCTGATAGAGACCAGTTCTGTCGTTTGTACTCTGGATCCCTTCCCAACCCTCTTCCTGTTTGGGTGACATCATCTACCCCATGGCATAGAGTCAATGTCTTCGTTTACCGTTGTCATAATGGCTTACCAAGTGGAGCTGACTAGACTCTCCTCCTCCCACCTTGTCTTATCCCACCCCCGGGGGGTGTTCATCCCAGGATCTTCTTGACCTTGGTGGTATCCCTCACAGCTGACTAAAGCGTCTTCAAGTGGTCTGCGTACTC